ATGGGCTGAATTGCACAAAACGCATGATCGCACCGGCTAGTCTGGTGCGCGCTGCCATTTATTTCTTTTTCGACGTGTCTTGAATACTTAAATTAGAGTCGTATTCACACGTGAGGAAATAAAATACGACGGGCAGTACATGTCTCTCACTTTGTCGACAATTGATGGACGACACTTACTAATGAGTAGTGCCAACTGTTAGGTAGTGCACATATCTGTATGAAGCTATATCTATAGGGAGGCACGTGCCAAGCCTCTGACTCTGGGTTAATACTTGTGATCTCTATTAATGAGGAATGTTTTACTGTTATTGTTTTATTGTTAATAAAGTAAGTTGTCCTACGCGGCCGTCTCTCTCATCAGCGTCCCGGTCAGTGCTGGCTCGTATGCCACGCAGTTTTCCGCTAAACAACACCAACGAAAAAATAAATGACTGCTCGAATGACCCTGAAGAACAGTTGGCGCACATACATAGAGTAGGTGGTGGGTACTAGCTGGAGGTATGGAGCCCTGAACCGAAAAACCTGGCTTAACTGTGCTTGGCCCACCGGTGGAGTTGAACCCTAGACCTGCCGCTTGTTCCCATGGCATCATGCCCGTCTGCTTGATTGTGATTATTAATCTACAGTCTTCCAGGATATGATTGCGGCCGGGAATTATCGTGATGCTATTGCTTGCGCCACGTTATTTGATTTCCAGTCACATTTTACGCTTAACGAATTGGTCATCCCTTGCATGCTGCAAGACCGTTTCGTTGCCGTGGATGCGTTTATCAAAGGCGAGAAGAAACTGCAGGAAGAGCTTGTGCGGTATTTTGATGGTTTGGTTGGGCTCGATGAACGTGGTAAATTATTTTATCGTTAATGTCAAAAATTTGACATGAAAAAAAGAGTGAGGGAAAGCAATGACTGACATTAATTAGCACCAGCGAAATGTAATATTTTACCATTAAGTATACGGACATTAAGAAGAAATTCAAATCAGAAGAGTCTGTATCACACACTGAATCTTCTGCTGCCCTTACTGTGAACGGGGCACCATTTTCAAAAGTGTTTATGGGCCAGGAGGGAATCGAACCACTTCTCTTTACATTCGGATGCGATGTGCAACCCATTACAGCGCTGCCACTTGTGCTCGAGGATCAGTCTGGAGCACATTTGCTGTATATTTATCTTTCTTTCAAGGCAAAATACACCTTTCTTTTCTTGGTTTCTCCCTTAGGCAGTATAAATCTTTTTCGTTGTGGCGGCTTCTTTGCCGGTTCTTGAGCGGGTTCTTCGCGACACCTCCCTGACAAAGTGCTGTCACTCAAGCTATTTCCGATTGTTTCCATGTTGTGATTCTAACTCTTCACACGTTTATTGATGCAGAAGAGAGAAGAGAAAGCATAGGGAGGGGGGCGCATTTTGCAAAATCGCTAATGTGGAATACCCATGCTTACTGTTCGCACGGCTTTATTGCTATTGTATTTAAAAGGTTATCAAAATTAACTGTTAACTGTGATATCTAATATACTCGAAAAATGTCCGGTTGAGCTCGAAAATCATGTGATAAGTTGGAAGTCGTAAGAATTGCGAGCCATCTATTTAATAGACATAGGAGAAGCAGTCTGTTTTTCATCCCTTAGCTATAAATACGGGAAAGGTGTATGGATAGGCACAGGAATCAGCATTACATCTTCTTAGCCTTATTAAAGGTTGAAAAGAAGATACCAGGAAAAGAAGAAAACAAAGAAAATGAGGAAAAGGATAATAAAATGGAAAAGGTGTCCATAGAAATGTTTGTAATAGGTAAGAAATGTTTCGGTCCATTAAGTGGTATACATTTCTTACCGTTACCACAATTGGACATATGATTATATCCAGTTGGATCCGTTAGGATTATGTCTAATTTACGAAGCTACAGTTTGAAAGGAGAGGAGTGGTTTCCGGTTAAGGAATTGAAGAGAGAGAGAATGGAAAGGGACATTGAATTAGGGAAAGTCCGCTTAGAACTGTAATATAAGTAAAACAGCAAATCTATGTTGGTGTGCTAACTTGTGCTACATACTGTTTCTTGCCCTATTTTGAACATATCATGAACAAATAATCATTACAGTTATCGCAAAGCGTTATGAGGAATATCGTCAGAAAAAAATAATGACAATTCCGATGGCGAAACTACAAAAAAAAGCTATCGAAAAGCTCGTTGTTCGATTACTATCGGCGTATAATTTGACAGCTCAAGATGTGGCACCAAATTTGAGCCGAACAAGGCGCGAAGGCTCACTCAGACATATAACATTCCTGTATTTCGTGGAAAATAGTATTACCGATGAAGGATATTATGATTTTGTCAGTGTAAGTGTTTGCAGAAAAATTATTCGCGCAAGTGCTATTGCACATGGAGACGCTTTTCAAAAGTGGTTATGGACCAGAAGGGAATTGAACCACTCGTGTTCATTTCCGGACACAACATGTTTTCCACTACACCACCGATCCATGTACTGTACAGTGAGCCTGACAGCACATTTACTTCAAGCATTTCAAGGCAGAATGCGTCTTTCTTTTCCTGCTGCCTCCCATCTTTTCCTGCTACCCACCCATCCTGTTGCCACATCTTTTTCTTCGTGTCAGCTTTTTTCTTTGCTAGCTTTTCGCAGGTTTTCCACGACAGATACGTAATGAAAAACCTCATAATTTTTTTCTACTATAATCTGAGCTATTTCAATATCCATAAGAAAGTATTTACTTGGACACCTGGGTCAATTGCACTTCACAGTCATTTTCCCATTTACGCAGCTTGACAGCTTTTCCAGTTGCTTTAACCAGTACTGCATCGACTGTTTGCCAACTTACTATTAATCCTGACGTTCCATTTCATTTTCTGAGGGGATTACCAGCTTGGCGGCCTTTCCAACCGAAGTATCGGAAAGGTTTTGGCCATTTCGTGATGACTTTGATGCGCGTAGAGCATTGCTTTTCCTAGATCACAAAATACGTCACCGGCTGTGAACTGTAATCTTTTAATTTCAAAAACGTTTGCCGTTTTTGGGGAGGGGCAGGGAGGGAGAAAGAGGAATGAGAATCTTAACTTTTTATGCGTTTTTTGCAGTATTGCAATGCGAAAAACGCATATTGACGAGAGGTTGTCTGTGTGTCTGTGCGTCTGTATGTCTGTGTGTGCGTCTGTCACGGTTTTTCTTCTCAAGACCTACAAAAGCTATGGGGCTGAAATTTTGGGGACTTAATCTACATGCACGTACGGACCCCAATCCCCAAAATTGGCGCCATACCCTGCGTGGTATCCGCGTACGG